ATATTATAATTATAATGTTGTTTGTTATTAATCGCGTTTTATTTACTCCATTAGTCCACTCGTATAAAGTATTTTATTCATTGCTTTAAGCGTGTGATTTCGTTTTGCCACAAATACAAATATTTATCTTGGGTCGTCCGGTGCGAGGTTTTTGAACTCGATACGAAAATATCCATCATGCTGCAACTACTACTGAGAGCGCAGGACGAGGCGCCATATTCGTTTAAATATACGATATTTATATTATTATTGTTTTATATTACACGCGTAGTATAATATACGGAAAAACGTCGTAAACTGCCGTATAATAAGATTTTATCAAAATTTCAAAACTGCAAAGATATGCGGCCATCAATTAGGGGACAGTATACCATAAAAGCCATACTAACTTACGCCGTGTGACGTGAATTAATTAAAATATCGTACGTGATGGAATTTTAGTGCGTTTAAAATCGCATTATATCTTATATATATAATATGGTAAAAACGACCGCCACCGGGTAACCATGCGCAGACGAGGCCGTTAAACTATATATATATATAACGACGATAACACGTGTATAGCGGCTAAAAACAATTACCGTACACTACAATATGTGAGGAATCTGCTATTAATTACGAGCAACGGGGTTGTAGCTCTCTGTCGCACACAACCACTCATTCGCTCCATCGCCATCTCTCTCTCTCTCTCTCTCTCTCTCTCTCTCTCTCTCTCTCTCTCGTTCTCTCTATTTCTCTCTCACCCTCTCACACCCTCTCGCTTTTTCTCCAAGTATAATATTATTATGATGTTGTGGAGGCGGCGTATCTGAGCATGCACGAAAGGGTAAAAAAAAAAATGTTACATTTATAAGATTTATAATAATATATTATGGTTAAAAAATAACTTTGTTGCAGCGAGTTTTCATAAAGTATAAGTTCTGTGTTACATTATAATATTCCAGCATAAATAGTCACCCAGAACCGCGTATGATAGGCGTACGCTGCAGACTTTGGTCGCAGGGTAGGTATATGAGGCTGATAAAACATACTCTCCTAAAATATGCAAGTTTCCCTAAATAAAATACAGATTTATGTATTTTAGATATATTTTTTTTATTGGTATATATTTCGACTTTCGAGGATGCTTAATTTATGATACGAGTGTCCGCTGAAATATATATTTAGTACCTATGTGAACTTTGTACAAAATACATTGTGCACGATAATATGTCAATAGATAAATCCACACATTATATATTAAAATTAAAGTCAACAAATGATAAGTAATAATAGATTACGATTGTGATGGCAGTCAATTTAGCAATTTCAGTTTAAACCTTTTCTCGCGCATTCTATCTGTTATCCGAATTTCTAGACTTGATGTTGAATTCCAATTCTCAATGTGTGTTTTTTTGAATTTTTGTTTACTTTGAATATCAATTTCAAGACTAGATTTACGTATAAAAGGTATTTCGGGAAGCACCCTATACTACAGTCGGCCATATTAATATATTATTATAATATTATAATTGCGTATCGCAGCACTTGAAACGCGACGAAGGACTTGAGCGGGTGACGCGATATAATTACACAGCATCGTATACCATATATAACGACGAATATATTATATTATTATTATCGCATGATTCCATATCCAAATACCAAACTGAGTAGCACTGGTGTGGTATAGTGTGTGTCTATAAGTTAGGTATCGAAATACGGCGATCGATAGTGTCAAATCGACGACGATATACACACGGCGGTCGGCGAATATTTATCAAGTACATAATAATATAATATTAAAATAGTGTGTATAACAGAGGGGTCCACCGTATTTTCCAACATTTTATCACTTAATAAAAACTCAGGAAAATGGGAAAACGCTGTGGTCGTCTTATATTATAATATAATTTTTAAGGGCCTGTTTATTATTTAATATTCTAATACAAACGAGTTGCGCGGTGCTGGATATAGTGACAAGATTTATTACATTAAAACTATAATGGCATAATATAGGTATTATATAATATTATTATCACTGAGCGAAAATCGCAAAAACATATTTAATTGATTTTAAACATTATATACATTTAGTATAACATGAACCAGTCAATAAATACGATACGTATATTATATGTGTGATATTTTTTATTATCACGAAACATAATAAGGAACATAATATTACAATCTCATGTCATTTGGATAGTCATTAGTATAGGTAGGTACAGTGTAACTGGTACATAATAAGTCCCTCTTGAGGAGGTGGACGTATTATATAAAACAGTTTTTCATCAGTTCTAACATGAAAAAGCCGTCTTCGAAGGTTCCAACCAAAGTTCTAGATGCTCACACCCAGCCCAAAAAGAAAACATAATATTATGCAGAAGCTTTGTCAAACGAAAATTCACCTTCAGAACAAGTCTCAACCATGTTATCACAATATTCATTTCAAACTTAAATTCAATTATACCAGTCCACTAATTTACCTTCTTTCCTCCATTCTAAATTCAGCGTTAATCGCTAAAGGTACTCTCTATTTATCCCTAGTCTATTCATATTTAAAATTTTCACATTTATAAAAAGTCATCTTCCTTATTAGCTCCTAAAATTCATTAGTATATTAGTTGAATTATTTTCATTCATAATCTTTCAAATTAATGACTACAAAAATTCACAATCGTCCACAATGTTTTTATTGTTTTACTTATATGATGTTATACTTATACCTATACTATAACGTACGCCGAGTTAAATATAAATAACTAATAGCAAATAAAAAAACCACTCCAATAACAAAAAAAAAAAATTATGAGAACATAATAATTTGAACTTTTTACACAAAGATAACTTTATGTTCTAACTTCTAACTTCTTGCAACAAGCAAACATAAATTAATTTGATACAAATTTACTGCTCTAAAACCGTACAATATTATAAGCGTTCACGAGTATTCTCTGTACGGATTTTCGCCAACGAGCTGGGTCAGCAGATCGTTTATCATGCATAATACTATAATAATACGTTAAACTGTTAAAGCAGTAACCTCTACAAAATAATTCATCATCGGAAAACGCGCTGATTTTTTACTGTAACGACGATATCATTTGCAGCCGCCCGTCTGCATATATTATTATTTATTATTTACAAACTGACGTCTGCTGTAGGGAACCACAATGCCTACCTATAATACGCATATTACCATGCATACAATACATAATATTAATCGGTGCGGAAGACAAAAAAATAAATTAATGAAATAAGACAATGTAAAAACGGAACTATACCTATGAATTCGTCCGTTTTATCATAGAAACAATGTATACATTATATACACACGGGGATATATATATATATATATATTATATATATATGTATAATCCCTGCACGTTGCGCGCAGACGGAGATAGTCGTAGTAATAATAATAATAATAATAATAATACGCATACTTTTCGGGAAGGGTGGAAGGAGGGGGGGGGGTGCAAATGAGGTCTGCAGTGTGAGTTTCGCATTATAATATTATAGTCGTATCGTGTCGGGTCGCCCGGCAAAACAATAGAGGTCGACTGCCATTGGTCGAGCCCGGCCACCGGCGGCGCACCGCTATGTACGTATATATACATCATATACGCGCTGGCGATAATATATACACGTATATATAGCGTATACCTGCACTCACACACACACACACTCGCGTATATACTTGTATATATATATATATATATATATATATATATATACAGATCCCGTACAAAAGGGATACCCACGGGAGAAAGGAAAGCCAGTCCAGCCGTCAGCTAATTAAGGGTTGCGAATGTATTGTGCACGGGCGAGCGGTGGCGGCGGGTAGACACGAAGGATAACGCGCGCCCGAGTAAAACAAAGGACAGCCTTTACCACCGACCCCCGATCGCTCGGGCCCTTTGCCGCTCTTCTGCCGCCGGTTCGGGTTCAATACATGTATATATATATACCTACTATAACGTATACTCTAATATGTAAATCGCGAGCGCGCGTGCGTGTGTGTTATATATCACGACCCGACCCCGCAGCAGCAGAAACGTCAACTGGAACACACGGGCCCACCCGTTTACGCTTTCGGAAGTTTATATATATATATATATATGTGATGTACCGTAGTACAATATTATGTATTATTATATCGCGCTAATGGATTCGATTAATTATCCACGAGAGGCTTCTAAGTCCTAACCGTTTTCGTCTCCGCCGGATACGCAATATATTATTATTGTGACTCGCGAAGTCTATTGCTTTTCGAGTCCAAAAACAAACAGTTGTTGTAGGTATATATGCGCTGCAAATATATAGGTACGCGGGCAAACAACGGGCGCCGTTACGTTTGCGATGTATATAATAATTATAAACGCTATGTGTATAGATTATAGGTCCCACCTACTACAATAATAATAGTACATGGTTATTAAAAAAAAAATATTCATCCGATTTCAAATGCTCAAATGCTTTTAGTTTGTAGGTTTGGAGCAATACATAATAATATTATTGTAAGGCATGTAGTTAAATAAAATAATACAATTTAAAATGTTTTCATTGGTACCTATAAATATGACGTTATATGTATGAGGTTTCTCTCGAAATTCACACAGACGATATCTAAAGTCGGAACTCAAATTCATTCGTGTTCGTTGTATTTATTATTTTGCTAATTTTTTTATACGGTTGATAATTATTCCGCGCACAGTATCATCTTTAACGTCATAAAATCTGGTACATAAAAAGTAGTCACATGAGGCGTAATATATCATTCGAGGAGACCTAGGAAATCGGGTGCAAAGCATTCAATCGGATGATTCATTTTGAATAACTCTATAAAATATTATAGTCTCGAGTCTCGACAGAAAACTCGAGTGTACATAATAATAACGATATTTTAATGTGCCTACTTATTCACGTCGGACGAATAATTTTGCAAACGCGAAGCTCGCACTGCAAAAAACGGCCGAGCGTTATTAATACATTAATAATTTAATATGTGTTCGCAGTTGTTGCCGCTATCTCCCGGGCCGAGGACGTGGTATCGCGTTACTCGGAAATCCTTTTTGGCTCGTTGGGAGAGGATCGCTCGAGACCGCCCTATGTAAATAACCGTAATCAGAACCGTCGGGGATTACAATAATTATCGGGTCTTAAAGACGAATATATAATAACGAGAACGTTTCAATATAATGATGTGATGTGAAGGGATTGTATCACTGCCAATTAAGATAATATGTTTTAATATTAATAATAATAATATATACGTTCCAAGTCGATAATGAATGATACAAGCTTAATGGCTTATGCGCCATATTTCAGTCGAATCGCATGACAATTACCGACTCAAAGTACCGATTATATGGGGCAGGCGCGCGGTGTGTCACAGAAGGCATGGTTTTTAATATAAATCGTCCAAAAACAAAGGGATATTCAAAATTTTCTTTTCAATCGCAATCAACATGTACTCCAATTTCCAATTTAATAATTTAAAAAATGATATCCGTCCAGTATAATGTGTACACTTCCACTTTTTCTGAAGGTAGTGGTCGTCCGATCGTTAAAATTAATGATAACTATCTTTTGCAGCCTTATCAGTCAATTTCACACCGGTTACAGGTCGTGCGTGGTTTATTCAAGTCAAATTGGCACTTATCCACATAGAAAGAAGATATTATGAGTGACACAAATGAAGTTAGAGTCCATTCCTTGACGCCATCGCGGTTAAGACCAAACGTTCCGGGAATTGTCCAAGCAACGTGTGTAAATATAGAAGCCTTGTGCTGCTGATAGCAGCTGTGCTGAGCTGAAAGATTTTTAGAGGTATATAATTGATATTTTACTCTTACTTAAAAAAAAAAAAAAAAAACAGATACAAAACCAATAAAATAATGCATTATTACGATACGCACCGTAATAGGTGTGTTAATCATATTATGTGTACATACACAAGGTTGAGGTAATATTGTATAAACCAAAAAAAAAAACAATATATCATAACTTTTAGGACTGTAGTTATATATTAGGACGTATTATTATACTATTTTATATGCCGGTTGATTATTACGTACGCATATAGGTATATTATATTATTTGAATACAAGGAAAATACGTCATGTCGACTCTGACGCATAGGTGCATCGAATATCGTACAATATATTTTATAATAATATAATAGGGGCAGCCAGACGTCGTCGTTAAGAATGGCTTACGTTTGTGTTCCGCGTTTTGTCGCCTTTTACCCACCGGTAAACACAGACGAACAGACGCCACACATACGCATAATATATAATAATATATATAATGATATTCGTTAATCGCATCACAATCGAACGGCACACCTGATAGGTTTCGCACGCAGGACATAAAACGTACCTATTGGAACCACACAGATTAACAATAATTATTATACCACGTACGTGCATCATGGGTTCGCACTCTGAGTACATTGTAAAATATATTGATGTAATTTTGAAGTCCCTAAATTCACGGGTACGAGGAACGTGATGTCGAATTAAACAAAGATTATATTACAGTTCGAGATGGAATAAATCACACGAGTGTTTCGTTCACTGATAGTACCTTTATGTTCCTTTTTTTTTAGGTATATGAGGTACAAGTGGAGTATGTTATAATATTGCGGTGTCGCCCTAGAATTGATCGTAAAACCTATAACTCGTATTAATAACATTGTAATTAGTGCAGCTAGTTGGTAGAGAAACGCATTATTTTTAGCTTGCTGTAAGGCATAAACTTCTTTAACACAAAGTTTGTATATTAAACTAATTATCAACCGAATTTATAAAATGTCATAAATAAAATTACTAGTCGTATCAGTTTTAAAACTTTTATTTAGCAATTTTTTACATTAATAGGTATTTTTTTGTTATTTTTAAATTTTTTTAATATTTAATTCAATATGTTTAATCATTTTCGTCAATTAAGACTTTTTCGCGTCATGATTTATGAATGCTATTTTTTCATTTTTGTCTTATGAATACATATGTATTATACATATGTTTTATTCATTAATAATATCTTCGAAAAATATTTTTTTATCTATGAACCTCGAGTGCAGTATGCTCTGCAGTATACTACAATTTATACTCTGTTTTTGAGATTTAAATCCATTTAAAAAGCTTTTCTTGCGCTTTGTACTGCAATATTCGATATTTTAAGTGCACTCTTCAAGGTTTTTTAATGCATTCAATTCACAATGACACAGCTCTAATCATCATGAAATCTTTGAACACAAAATGTCATCGTGTCGAAACATGTATGTCACGTGTGTATATAATAATATATAATATGTAAAATAAATTTCGCGTTATGTGTACAGCGATGACGAATACGCACAACATCGCGATAATATAATGCTGCAGCTATGACGTTATCTACCTATACATTGTATTATATTATGGTATTATAGTGCGCGATGAACGGGAAATCGACACATCTCGCAGCAGCATCCGCCCCGTCAAACCGACGAAAAATGACCGTCTTCAACATGTCGTCGTCGCTCTTATTACACGTAATAATATTGATACATTGCGCGGGTATATACGACGGAGAAACGAAAAACGTATTTGTCATTTTCTCCGCTCCTTCGGCACTCGTACGCTTTTATATGATATTATCGTCTAATGCGCGCCCGATGCATCAATTTTTATTGACACTCGGAGCGGTGAATAACATTTCGAAAAATAAAACGCTCTCGAGTTATATATAATACATATACCTAAATATACACGCGCATATATTACACATCACAACGTATATGCGTATAAATTACACTCGCGCGTGTACATTTCTCTCCCGCGGAGTATATATGCCCCATACACGTATACATACTACACCGTATCGCCGCCGTCGTATATGGACCGTATCCACGCGAGATAGAAACACATTATAAATAAGGAAAACTCTCCCCCGAGGACCCGTCCGGGGGAGGTGGATGAGGTGCGGCGTTAGCGGGAAACGCTCGGTGGCGGCGGCTGAGCAGTACGCGTATAGTGGCGGGTGAGGCGCGCAGGTTGCGGGGCGACACAATGTGCCGAGAGAATTCTGCCGGGTCGTTTTAATACCCGTAAAGGGATTTCAAGGAAAACGTCGATAGTGTTTTTCCCGGAGTTTTATGTGTGCGTTTTATACATGTATATATATTATATTGCGCGCGCGATGGGCGGAAAGGAAAACGCTCTTCGCCGCTGTCGTTGCGATAAGGGCCGATGCCGTTTATAATGGCTGCACTATTACTATGCATGCGTATATATATATATATATATATACATTACTAGAGAGTGAGAGTGAGAGAGAGAGAGAGCAATAGGGAGAGTATTAGAGAGGGAGCAGCGAGTCCCTATATATGGTCCCTCTTTCAAAAGGACCCTTTTTCCTTGGACTTTTTCTTTTCCCGACCAATGACCCGTCTCCCCGGCCTTAAAGCTCCCGAATACTCGCTTACACACACACACACACACACACACACACACAAATACACATACACCCGGGGTGGTTTCTACGAGACGGGGGCGGTTTATGGAGCGCGGAGTTTTTATGGTCGTTCGTTCGTTTTTTATATTATTATTATTCCGTTCGTGTGGGGTGGATAAGCAGGTCTGCCCGCCACTACCACCGCTGCCGCCAATGTCTCGGACACATTTCGATCGAAACGCATAAAAAGAAATCGTATATACGACACACGTTTTTTTAATGGAAGTGCGTATATGAGTCACGAATCGCGATATACACTCGTCCGCCTCCACGACGGGGGTGAGACGACAGACGAGTGTGGGGTAAGTATACGCATATATGGTGTGTATGATATATTACACACGCGTCCTCTGGAAACGACCGCCGTCTCTGCTGAAACTCAATGACTAACAGCAGACGACGTGATCTGAAAGGTTTTTTATTTTTATCTTTATTCTTTTACTGCTGTTCCATCATATACTTCTCAAGTGTACATCAGTGAAATTTCAAGAAGGTGCCGAAAAAAAGGATAGAGAAAAAACCGCCTGTAATGCAAAAATTCTTAAATTAGTCCTTGAAACGAATGCGTCACATATCTTATTATACCGTCTTCAAGCAGATCGGCAGCAAACATTTCACCATACGATGACGAGTTATTATATTATTCAAATAATACACTATATTATAATATGTTCACATCTTAATTTCATTAATATTCTTACAGATTTTACGCAGAAGTTTATTTTAATATTGTAATTTGGTCTTACCACCGTGATGCTGCTAAATTATAATTATTATGCAAATACACATTTTGGGGAACCGTGATCGCGAGAAATATACAATTTGTTAAACGATATCCGTTAAGCTCGATATCCGGATACAAATCATTATAAAACTTCGAATAAATACTACAGATTATTAATTTAAAAGAAGTATTTCATTTGATGATGTAGCACAGTTAGTATTTGTATTTAATTATAGTACCATCATTAATGACCAGTATTACGAAATAAAAAACATAAAATTGAAGAAATAAAAAATATTTATGAATACAAAAGGTACACAACGACCGTTTATAATAAATGGTATTTGTCTTAATAGTTAATATACACCGTCGCCTGAGTCGGAGGGCATATAATATATTATTGTTGTATAGGTGTAACTTCAAAGAAAACCGACATTGGGTTCAACGCCCGTTCGATGTTCCAAACGAATATTTCGGAATTTATTTCGATCGCCAGCCTTTGAGGAGCTCACTTTTATTATTATTATTATTATTATTATACTAATATAATATAGTGTATTATAAAGCGCGATGACGAATAAATCTATGGCAAAACCCGAGCACTGCGGGACTTTTTTGATTAACGCGCGCCCGTCGCGAGCCCCGTCTGTACAAACAATAATAATAATCATTATAATATTATTTTCATTATTGAAAAACGGTGCCGGAGGATTTTTCGACAACGTACGCAGCCGCCGACGTGTCTGGGCTTTGCGACGTCCCGCGGGCCTATAGCCGAAAGAAAACAATAATATTATAATATTGAACAAGTATTACCGATACGCGTCATCTGATTCCATTTGCGTTCCATTTTTTTTTTTCATTCCCATTTGATCCCCTTTGTCACGCCTCGTACGAGACTTTAATTTTTTAAACGTCACGTTGACAGATATTATACTATTTCGTTCATTTGAAATAAATTCCTACGCAACGTTCTTGCGTGCTGACGGTCTTCACGCGTGTTTAAAATAGCGTCATACAATAATATTATACTCCGACTTGTTTTCTTCCTGGCGTGGCTCACAAGTCACAAAAACAATCAAACCTCCACCCCTCTTCCATCGGTAGGTACTCTGCAAGGTGCTGCAACGGCATCGGACTCGTTTCTAAAACAATATTATATTATTATATTCGGTTGCGCGCACGTCGGAAATGTCAACGTCCAAGAGTCAGCATTTCCGTGACTGCGACAACCCGACAATGTACCCAATATTATATATTATATGTATATATATGTTTACAACTCGAACGAATAGCCGTTATAAACGATAGCTATATCGATTGCATGACTTTGAACCGTAATTAAATGTACCTTGGTATTAGAATTAGAACATTGATAGAAGTTTTTATCAAACCATCATTTGATTTTCCCATAGTGCCCAAATCGAAACCACTATAATAGATATAAATTATATAATGTAGCGATAGCCAATATTAAAAATATGCGATTGTTAATTTGTTGAATAAAATTAGAATTTTATTTTAATAACATTACCTAAAATTCTTATAGTATTTTTCGTAGAGTAATACTAATTTCACTCTATAGGATGACTTAAGTATTAGTGTA